GGCTGTTGGCCAAGTTTTGGAATCTGGGGACTGAGGGGCAAGCCTGGGCCTTCTGGCAGCCGGCCACGGGGGGAGCGCCCATGAGCAGACGGAGCCAGACCCCAGCGCCTTCTCCGCGCCTCTCCGAGCCCCTCTCTCCTCCCACGGAGGCCGGCTGGGGCTCCCCACTTCTGCCCTTGGTGCTCAGGGGCCTTCTAGCAGGTGACCCGGAAATATCTGAGTCGTAGCAGAAAAGCCGACCCCGATGGCTAGAGGACAGAGAGGCGTCTGACTCCATGTGCGTGTAACATGCGTGTTTATAGAAATATGTTTTCTAAGACATTTTGTTCAAGTATCTACAGATGGAAAAGTGCACAAACCCTAAATGCTCAGCTGGGTGAATTTCCTCCCGGTACACACCCCGCACCAGCACCCAGCTCCAGAAATAAAGCATCAGCGCCTCAAAGCCCCCCAGGCCCCCTCTCTTCCTGCCCTTCCCTGCAAGGGCCCGGCCTCTGCACCACGGGCACGCGCAGGACGGTAACGGCTCGGCCACCTCGCGGGCTCTTGGCAGCACCCCTGAGCTGGACAGAGGCCCCGTGCGACCCAGCAATCACGCTCCTGGGCGCAGACGCGGTGGAGAGGGGCACAGATGGCCCCGAAGATGCACGGCACATGCTGGAAGGTTCGTGATCGCCTCAAACTGGAAACCACCCCTGTGCCCGTGGAGGGATGAATAATAACCCGGAGAGGCGCAGTGAGTCCTCATGGCAACAAGGGGGAAGCAGAGCAGACGCAGCGGCAGCCGCGATGACGCCCGCAGACAACGCGGCGCGGGGGGCGCAGACGGGAGAGAGCACCCACCCCAGGGCGACAGGACCGCAGGCGAAAACGGGCGAAAGCGCCCGGCGGTGACAGTGCGGTTTTATCTTTTAGTCTTTATTTCTCTCCTCCCCTCCTTTCTTCCTTTCATATTTGGGCTCCTGCTCTTTCTCCACACACGCTTGCACACACGTGCACATACATGCACACACGCACACACATGCACACGCACACACGCACACATGCAGCCTTTTCTCTGCAACAGGAAATAACACCCTTCAAAGCGACGCCCCTGCTGTCGCCGGCAGGCCTGAGGGTGGCTTGCACCTACGGGCGGTTTAAGGTGAACTTGGGAGGATGCAAACCCTTCTTGGTAAAGCCGAGTGGCTCCGGGTCAGAGCAGGCAGGTGCTCGAGGGGCCCGTCTGGCCGGAGACCGAGGCAGGCGGTGGCGGTGCTCACGGAGGGGAGGCCGGCAAGGCCGTCCAGGTGGGTGTCCCGGCAGAAGGAGGGGGTGCCATCCGATCTTTTAAATTGCGTCTGGCCTCAGTGGCTGCACGCCACCGGTTACCCGGACAGGTGATGGTTATGTAACCGCGTCTCGGTTACCGGTGTTTACGGTTAAGCCCGTGGGCCCGGGGCCAAGCTGCGCCGGGGCAGATCCGGGCTCTGCCCGGTACCAGTGACTGTTCAAGGGCAAGTTATTTGACCTCCTGGGGCCTCAGCTTTCTCATCGGTCCCTGGAACGTTTAATAAACGTCTTTGTGCTCGTGGCAGGTTGTTGAAAAATCTCCCCCATGTTGTTAGTCAGCTCTGCTGTACTAACGCCGGGTGACAAGCAACCCAGATGTCTCAGCGCTTTTCAACACGGACCACACTGTCTCCCGGGCTGTGGCTGGGCTCGGGTCCTCTCCGCCTGTCTGTCTCTCATTCCGAGGAAGGGCCCCACCTCTCCCAGGAGGGGCGCCCGACGGCATCATCGCACAGGTGGGTGATCCTGTCCGAGGGGCGGGCCTCTCCTGGGGTGCGTGTGTGCGTGTGTGTGCGTGTGCGTGTGCGTGTGTGTGTGTGTTAGATCGCTGCCGCTGTCTGTTTTGCGCCCGGAGCTTTTATCCTGAGAAGGAAGTAATTTAGAAAATGCTTCAGCAAACAGTTCCGCAGATGTTTCCTTGGGCTGCTGGTTCTGCTGGTTTGGAGAATGTGCCTGTCCTTGGAATTCATCAAATCTGGGCAGAACGTGGAGAGAAGAGCCCTGAAATCTGGGTGGGGTCCCTCGCCTCTTTGGGCGCGCACCCCAGAGACCCTGCGGGGCAGGTTTCCACGTGGCCTGGAGGACGGTGCTGAGGGCTGGGAGCTGCCCGGGGGCCGCCGTGCTGGCAGGCGCCACTCCCGCCAGGCGGAGGGATACCCGGGGCATCCGGCTGAGACTTGGGAGAGGACTGTGCTAGGCCCTTCCTGACGAAGCCCGAGGTCAGGACTCAGAGAGTGAAAGAGAAACGCTGTAACTTAAACACCCTCAGAACGAACCCCACAGCCCTTCAAGGAAAATGAAATAATCCAGACTGTCTGCAGCCTGGCAACCCCGATGCCCGGCACACGGTAAAAGTTACCTGTACGGGTGAACGTCCCACAGGCTGAGACCTTGTCATAGCGCAGTGTCACTCGGCCAAGAGAGAGGAGCCGGGGTGCAGGTCACACGCGTCTCCGAGACCTACGCTGAGCAGACCACCCAGACACGGAGGCCACGCCGTAAAAGACTGCGTCATCCCGGGGCCTAGGGCAGCAAAACCTTGGGGATAGAGGTCCCGGTAGCGGTGCCCTCTGGGGTTGGCCAGGGGCTGACTGACCAGGGGCACGAGGGAGGGTTCCGAGCAGGTGTTAATGTTCCGTGCGCAGGGCTTTGGCCTAACCAGGCCTGTTTATGGAAGCCGTTGTATTATTGTATTTGGGAGCTGTGCCTTTCACCGAATGGAAGTCATGCCTCAGTGTTGGACCAGGATGGACAGGAGAGGTTGGCCAGGTGAAGTGAGGGTTCCCAGCAGGTGACGATCGTGGCACAGGCGGGGGGGAGGATGGTGGGCTCAGGGGACGCTGAGTTATTTTGTTGGGCTGGATTATTGAGAAGTTGGATGTGGAGTAATTTAGTTGGACCCTCCTACTTTATAGGTAAGGAAACAGATGGGGGGTTGCCTTGTCTCCATTTGTGCACAGTGCCAGTGGCGGAGCTGGGACTCAGATTTAGTGTCCACGTGTGCATGTGTGTGCATGTGTGTGCATGTGTGCATTTGTGTGAGCCTGTGTATATATGTGTGTGTCTGTGTATGTGTGTGTCTCTGTGTGCGTGTGTATGTCTCTGTGTGTGTCGGTGTGTGTATATGTGTGTATGTGTGTGTCTCTGTGTGTGTCAGTGTGGATATATGTGTGTCTGT